GTCTGCCTGTCGCGTGGATATCTCTCCCCCTTTTACACAGGGGGGACGATCGAATACACCGTCGATTCAGATATGGCCGAGAAAATCCGACTTGCGCACCTGCCATTGCAGAACGCCAATCTGGCGATGAGACGGCTAATTCGACTCTCCACCGAGTTTGATACATTGGATGAGTTCCGTGCCACTATCACGGATACGCAAAAGTATCAGCGATACATGCGTGTCGATAGTGAGAGCCTTTCCGCGCTCCTGGCCAAGGTTACCCTTACGACGTGCTACGGCATTCCGATAAAAGGTGAACCTGGCTACATCTCCGACGATGAAGCAGAGGAGATCGAAGGAACCGCAGCGGCAACTGAGAAGCCCAAAGGGAAAGGCAAAGGGGAAGATGAACCCGACGTCCAAGCCATTAACTGGCGTGATTTGGACCCCTTGGGACGGAAGTTCATTCCGCACCATACTGATCCCCGATTCACGATTATCGCTGAGGGGAATACAGCACTCCTTGATGCCCCTGATACGCCTGATGAGACGCGTAAGGAATTCAAGGAGTTCGTTCGCGATCACTCTCTCAAGATAAAGGAGTGGTTCGACGATGATCGCGCAACTGAGAAGACATTCTTCACTCTTGTTGAAGGAGTGAAGGGTCAGCTCCCCGATGCTAAGAGCACTGACCCGGTTCTGATGAAAAGGGGTGAAGATGTCTTGGAGGCTCTACCCGATGAACTGGAGGAGCCTCACAGATTGTTCGACGTTGCAGCTCGACAGGCACGACGGCGTGATGATACGCCTCAGCGCAGAGTGCAGGTCACCGAGCAACGACAAGCGTCGATTCCCGAGGCTCATGCCATCCCCGTTCCTCCGGATGATGAGGATGAGGATGATGCTGAGCTAGAACGGGTGATTCGACCCGGTCCGACATCACAACGCACTGGACGAGAGCATCTCGGAGGCGTCGCTCCTGAGACGACTCCGCCCCGGTCTCGCGACATGCCGCCGCCATCGAATCTGCCGACTCGGAAGACGCATCGGCAATCGGGCTACAGCGCTGCTCACCCTGATGGAGAAGCACTAAGGGTGTCGGGGAGGGCACCATATTCCGATCAGATGAAGTTGCCCCTGGTGCTGCGAATGAAGACTCGGGTTCCGGAGCCAGATCTGGATAACCCAACGATCGAGGACATCATTCGCATGTACCATGCGCCGAACACGCTTTCCATCATCAGGAAGAAGGCCGCGGGTGTCATTATCGCGATGAACGCGAATCCCGATGATGATATCAATATGAAGTCGGCTGGCGTGACTGTTCCCTATACCGAGAATACGGGGACGGGGCGAGCAGCCTCGCCCGGAAGTACATCTGCTGCTACACAGGAGCGGATTAACCCCAAGTTCCCTGCACCAAGCATTCGCACTGCGTCCAATCCACCATCGAAGTTGCCACGCGATGAAAAGTGGGCTCCATCGATTGTGCGAACAGCACCAGCTCAGGTGATTAAAGGTGCAGAGGCGCGGGGACGCACGCAACAGCGTGCTGCTGAAGCAACGGACGTTGCTCCGCCAGCTCCTTCCGATGCTGCTTCGTCAGAACCACGATCTCGAACGATGGGCCCGGCCAAAGAGACAACAGCTAAAGGCAAGTCCCGAACTGGATCCAACGTGGCAGGCCTCATCGATGAAGCTGATGACATGAGGCAGCCGACGAAGGGCAAAGGAAAAGGGAAAGCCGAGAAAGGAAAAGGAAAACAGGAGAAAGGCCGAGGGAAGGGCGATAAGGGAAACAAAGGAAGGGGCGGTCCTGGACGAGGAAATAAGGACCGTACCCGTAGCCCCACAAGTCGTAGGTAACGACCGTCGACCTACGTGGCGACGTATTGTGTCACTGCAAGGTGAATCCGGTTGAGTCTTTCTGACCCATATCTCACGCGTCAACAGGGTCAGGCGGATTCTGATGGTGAAACCCGGCTATGACACAATTTCCGCTACTTCCTCAGCCTTCCTTGCCTGCGCCGCGCTGAGAAGACCCACAGGGGTACAATGGCTAGCCATGGTATTTTCCTCGTGTGTCCCTCTCTTTTCACGGACACTCGATGCTGCCGAGTTATACTCTGAGCGCGTTGAGTCTAGTGTGTTACCCCCGCATAGATCCGATGGAACATCCGATTGCCAACGATCACACGGCAATTCGCTATGCGCCTGACGATCACAAAAGGCTGCGTATGTACAGAAGTGGAACATAGGTTTGATCCGGATGCAGAGGCCGACCCACATCTAATGTAATTTTTCTTATCGCTTTAAGCTTAGCTGACCGGAAGAGGTGTGGCTCGGTGCACAACCAGTGTACGTGACTCTCCTAAACTCCGCTCTCCTCACGCGTGAGCTCGCGTCGAGGGGGGTGTGATTTGTCACGGACATGCGTACATGTGCTTCTGCGTCTTGGTTAGGATTCATGCCAACTTTGTCTCACTACGCAGCTTGACTGCTCAAGACCGACCTTGCGTCAGGTCCAGCAAAAGATCCGCTAGTGCCTGGGGGTTCTAGTGCTGTCTTTCCGCTGAGCGTCAAACTTACGGTTTTAATCTCTGATTGTCCTGCATTGCTCCGCTGCTTTGCTTTTATCTACGATTGGTTGCCTTGGGCTTTGTGACCGAGAGTTGAGTGGAATCCTCCGCTTTTCACACAAGGGTTACTGCAGAGCCGACCGCCAATTTGAGGCCCCGTGTGTTTAACTGTTGCACGGGGGTACTTAGAGAAACCGAAGATTTTGTGCGTGGTTGATACATGTGCTCGGCGAGCGTGCTTTCCGTGAGCATGCTTCGGTTAAGCACCCTCAATCCCAAGCCCCAAAGCTTCTTCTGGTCGGGTTGCCGACCACTTGTATCCTTCGATCTTGAAGGCTTTGGCACTGGAGATGTGATTCCAAGTCTTTAAGCCTTGGCTCTGAACCTTGGTACCGAAGCCCTGAGACTTTAGCTATATATAGACCTCACTCCCGAGCCCAAGCCCAAGCGCTGAAGCTTCTGCCCTTGAGTAGTTTTGTTCTGGAGCGCTTGTTCCTTGTGTTGCGATTCGCAGCTTTTCGCTTGACATCATCATTTTCAGCATCTTCTTGACAAGCTTGGGATTTCCTGACCCCCTGGACGACCCCCGAAAGTGCCTAACTCCAGAGTGTCCCCTTGCCCAGCAAAAGACTAGACGATATGACGGCGCGGTCCGGTACAAAGATTCCTAGCAAAATATTGCCTGCGGACAAGATGGCCGAAGATCAGCTGGATACTACGGCCCCTCGCCCGTGAAGCGAAAGTCGAAGCAGGGGTTGCTATGAACTGACCAGGAAGACAAGGTCCCGATTCAGGGTCCTCATCGTGGTGAAGTTTTCCCAACATCAGGAGAAGTATGCGCAAGTGCACCGCCCTGGTTTCTGTCATCAGGTTCGCCTGGGGGTGAGCTTCATCGACATTGCGGAGTTGTGCCCCGATTTCCACCAACTCCCGATGCCCGTAGCCTGTTGACCATAGTACTAGCACGAGCACCAGCACTGAGGAGATGCCGGAATAGGTGCAGGAGAACAAGCATCAGCAGGAATGGTAGCACCAGCAGACAGCGGCAGAAGGAGGAGGACCATTCGAGGAGGAGTGGAGGAGCAGGGGGAGACGGGGGAATCGTAGCAGCAGAAGCAGGCAGAATAATGGTACATAGATGTGACTAGTAAGAAGCCGAAGAGACATTGGAGCAACAATAGAGCATAGTGGAGCGCCACCAGCTGCTTCAGCAGACTCCTAGCTCCAGGTACCAGGTGCCCGGGCAGAGGGCAAGCTGACGGAGGAGTGAATCGGCTACAGGCTGGAGAAGGCTGTGGCGAACAGCGCGGTGTAGCGGGACTTTCCTGGGGTTGGCAATAAACTCCAAACCAGTCGATGGCTCATGGCTCTGCACCTTTACTCCTAACTGCTTTTAGCTTTGATACTCGTTCGCCCACTCCAAGGCCAGGCAGCTGCATCATCAGCACTCTTGGCAGCTCCAAGGGTTTATTACGCCACCCGTTCCCAATCTCTTAATATCAACACTCAAAAACCTCTTCCCCTCCGAAATGCGAGACAACACTTCTGACCTGACCCCCAGTACTGATCTCAACACTCCTCACGATTCAGAGCTAAGACGCAAAACTTTTTGTCCTGAACTCCCAGAACAGCATGCAGCCCGATATATCAAGCAGCACAGCAACCGTGATGATCATAATCACAATAGTAATATCACATGATCCGTATGATGCAGTTTATCATCCTCATCACCGTCGGTAAAACTTCGTTGCATGTGAAGACAGCACGGTACTGTGAGTGTGAAGCGAGATTGTTCGAGCCAGCCGAAATTGCTTCAAGTTCGATGTCAACGGTATGGGTTTGACAGCCTCCTTGCACAATGCGAACAGCAGTGGCATCAATCAGCATTGATGCTTGTGGCATGCACCGCCAATGCCACATACAGACCAGCAGAGGCTGAGAGGTACTTGCGTTTCAGTGCGGTGGCTGTTTGCGACGATTTTGCTATCGAGAGTTGGAGTTGTGGTGAAGAGTGTGCAGCAACGTCATCGTTCTTCGTGAACGGCTCCCAGATATTGCTTGGCCCTACTCAGAACTACAACTTGCGCGGGTTCGTTGCTCGCTTGCACACTGCGACTTGCTTGGTCGTCGTCGCCGGTACGTCCTTTTACAATTGGAGGTCGACTTACTTTATGATGGGCCACAGCTTCAGCTTAAAACATCCCCTGCACACCGAATGTCTGTGAATCTTGCCCTCTGTTCTTGCATTCAGTGAATGCCGGCAGGAACATTTGCGCAGATCTGGAATTCTGGCCAGCTGCCTGGCGTCCTTGGTCCACTCGTTCAGCCGGCCATTGCTCCGCGGCTTTCTGCCTCGATTGCAAGGCACTGGTGTTGTTCAAATCGTGACGCTTCGAGATTTCGATTGAAGTCCAGCTTTACGATAGCGATCGAAAGGTGATGAAAGGTTTCGCTGCCGGCTACGATGAGATACGACCTGAAATCTTCAGGGCTGTTCGGCAGCTTGGATGTTCAAGCCTGGTCTTCACCGGGCACTCGTTGGGTGCTGCCATCGTCACACAAGCAGCCCTCGAGGCTCGCGCTTGCCACCATTTCACAACAAGAGCCCGGGTCCATATTTAGCACACATGTTTTATGCATGTTTGACGACGTGCAATGATTTCTCCCTAAGCATGCCACCGTAAATGTGATGGTCAGTCGAAGATCCTTTGAGTTCTACCCATCAACCGTTCGTCACAATGGCGCAGGTGTGTGGACCTATGGGATGCCTCGTGTCGGCAACAAGGCTTTTGTGGAAGCCTTTGTGGCAACCGCAGCCGACATGCATCAGCTACCACCCATGTGGCGAGTCGTCCGCGATTTCGACTTGATCCCACAAGTGCCACCGAGGTGGCTGGGCTACTGGCACATTCCATGGGCAGTCAGATATTTGAAGGGTGATGCTGAATGGAAAATCTGCCAGGAGAAATTTGAAGATCCCGATTGTAGCTATCCAGGTGGCGCAATGGCAGACCATCACGACTACTTCGGAGTTGTTGGCACGGACGAAAACGAAGCCTCGGAAAAGTGTGTTTCTTCAGTGAGTATGCAGCAGAAGCATCGCCAGCGCCGCTCGTGGATGCTGTGGTTGGAATTTCTGGCAGGTTCCTGCAGCGTGCTTTGTATCTGCTGTTGCTTCTTCTGTTGCGGTCCCTGCAGCTGTCTTCGTTGTGCGGGTACGTGCTCTGTCTTTGGGAGCGAGGAGTCGGAGTCGGTTGTCGACACCGAGGGGACCGATAGTTGCAGCCTATTGCAACACACGTGAGGCAAGCACCGGGCGCTGAGGTAGACAGAACGGTGAAAGGAGGGCGATCATCAGCGGCGCCTCTGGAAGGACGCGCTCAATGTATGAGGGTAGTCGATTCCACCAGCCAAGTCGACACACACTCGGACCCGGACAACCACAATCAGGCCGTTCGAGCTGCCGCCACTGACAACTACTTAGGGTCCTCAAAGGGACGTCGGAGTGAGATGTTCTGCGGGACGCGTCTCACCATCAACAGCAGCACATCCGCTTCGGGCTCGGGTTGGGGAAGCCTTGCTGCGGAAACATGCTTGGAAATCGCGATCGACGTGTCCATGTTTTCGACGTTTCTAACCTTCCCAAACTCTTGCGACAGACCCTTACTTCTTCAATCATGCAATATCAATGCATTCAGAACTTGCGAAGACAAGGGAATTTGGCCAGGTGGGTGAATGCGACGTCATCAGCTGGCAGACTTCCCCAGATCTATCTTCGTTCTTCCCCTGAGCATGGAGTTGTGAGGAATGAGACGTATAGTGGGATCTCGTCAGTGCATCCTGCAGCTCCCTGCAGGCCGGTTTTCGGTGCCCAGTGTGGCGCTTGGTGTGCAGGAGCCCGCGTTTAAAAGGGACTCGGGGGACCGCATCCAGTGCTGGCCGCCAGTCGCTTGTGCTGCAGGATGCTGCATGCATGCATTTCATGCTCAGGGACATTCTTTGCTGCAAAGCACTCTGGAGAGCAGAAGAATAGGAGATGAGAGAACCAGTTCCCCTTGTTTGCCAGGCTCCTGTACTTGCCGGTCTCGGCGGTCTGCTTGGAGCTCAGCAAGTCTTTTGGTTAGGGTCTCCGAAAGTGTCTCGTGGACGTTGCAGACGATGGTAGGGACTCTGTTTTTCTTGCCCGCGTGAGGTGGATTATCCCGTTGCCTGCTTCTACTCCGCGACGGAGGTTCGGACAGCTTTGTTGCTCACACTGGTAAATTGCTCAGCTGCGCAGCGAAGCAAAGCCGACAGAGGTGGAGCATCTGCTTTGTTGCGTTACGGTTCCTCTGAGTGAAGAAGGATCAAGAATCGCACCAGTCTGTTCATCTGTATCCAAAGCGGACAGAGCCGCTTCCTGCACCGGAAAATGTCGCTTTTGTTCTGCTATGCCCTGGCTGTGTGACGGCTTTGGCGCTATTAGCCGCCCCGGGTGTTGCTCTCGCCACTTTACCTGTTCATGCTGAGCTGCTCTCCTCCTGTAAGAGTCGACTCTTTCACTCGAAGCCTCCGTAACCTGCCGCGCCAGTACACGATTAACGTTTTCCTGGCTCCCCACAGTCGGACTACTTGTTAGTTTTGTGTGCTAGATCTGAAGTAGGCATGTGTCGAACTGGACGGACTTCACTTGCAAGCTTGCCTCCAACGTCAATTCAATGTCATCTCAGCTCCGGTTGCGCTCGCTTTGTGTTGGGGTACACCACGCCGAAGACTTGCTGACCGTGGGGCAATGCACACACAGGCTTGCCCAAATTCACCGGCGCACAGCGATATTGCTGGCGCAAGCTGTTGGCCGGGTGGTCCGCGAAGGCATCAAGTTTCAGACCTGGGGAGTATGAGTAGCAACGCAGTCTGGCTGCGCCTGACCATGGATAGGTAAAGGCACCTGTATGGTACCGTACTCATGTATCCCTAAACCCTTACCTCCGCCTCCTCTCTTTCTTCGATCTGAGGGGGGTCACCTGCACCCTCAGGGTCACCCTAACCCTCCCGCCTCAGGCTCTCAGTCGACGGAGCGTACGCGATGAAAGGCGCCACGCGTATTCGAGAGTCAGATGCATCGGCTTCGGTTGCTTCGGAAAGACTCCGACTTCAGCAGAGCCCAAGCTGGCTTGTTGGCTTTCAAGATGTATTTCTTTGGATCCCCCCATCTCTGTTGATCTCCTGTTTTGGTTGCAGAAAATCAAGCTTGTTTGGCCGCTTGAAAGCTTTTCTGGCTTCGTAGCTTTCAAGCCTTTCAGCTCTCTCGCCTGGCCGTCAGTGACATCTTCCCGCAGTGACTAGTACCATGACAGCTGTTGAATCTTCAGTCATTGGTACGATCGGCCAGCATCTTCGTGCAGCTCTTCTTGTTCATTACAGCAGAAAGTGCTCACTACTACTCTTCGTGCTGCTGCTGCAGCTGCAGATCATCTGTGTTCTCCTGCGGCTCCCCCAGCTACCCTGCTCCTGCTGCTTCTGCTCATGGAAAATTCTTTTCAGGCCGTTCCCTTGTTTATCCTGAACTAGAACTAGTGCCCATTTGGATGTTCTCAATTCAGGTTGATGTTGCCCGAAAGGCGGCTGTCAACCTCTGTGCAGTGTTGCTCTTCGACATTAGCACAGGATAGATACTTGGTGTCACGCTAGCTTTGGGGCCCGATAAGTAAGAAGTAAGACGTCCCTTGCCTTTTCAAGCATGGCAACCGCTGGAAAGTCAGATTGTTCGTTGAGTGCGGGTTGCACAGCGGACCCCCAGTTTTTGCAACCGGCATGCGGTATGGCCAGGCCATCAATCGCAAGAAGCTTCAAGGCGTGAGCGCGAACCAGGAGGCGATCCAGCGATCCATTCGGTGAAGACTCTTTCTAGCGCGTCAGGTTGCTCATCCCGTCCCTTGGACATGATGCCGAGGTGATCTCGGAAGAACTGGATGCCTTTCTCCGTGATGAAGCCATTGAGAAAGTCAAGGCCTATCAGCATGACAGTGAACCTCAAGTTTAGACCTGAAAAAGCGTGGTCGATGTGACAGGCGCTGCTGGACTTCGGCCTCTGCCATGTGTTACTGTGTCACCACAGCTTTCGCTGCTGCATCCAAACACTGGGCGAGCTGACCAGTGCTTTATTGCCAGAGGCCAGCTGGAAAACAACTCACCAGAGCGCCCAGTCTTTCCTTTCATAATCTTCTTAGGTTTACTGAGGATCTTCTGGCTACTTTTTCTACCTTTGAGATCTACTCACGTTCGTATTGTGCGGGCTTTTGTTCAATTAGATTGTACAGGACCGCGTGCATTCAGAGCCCGTCCATTCTTGCAGCAAGCACCGCAAGTAAGTGAAGGCCAGGCAGGGAACACATGATTTCGTTGTTGTTCGAGTTAGTCTGGTAGTAGACATCTGGTTTGAGACCTTACATAATGATGTGAAGCGCCTGGGATCATGCTTCGTGGACTGGTTCTCGCTCCAAGCGACAGAAACTTCAAGGCTCTCACCGGCACGTTGATTTCCATGTACAAGTGGAAGCCCGGGGTGCGACCCAACCGGGATGAATTTCATGCCGACGATGTCAAGGCCTCCGCCGCCAGCATCATCCTCGTCATCACAATCACTCCGCTATCACCACCCGCTCCTTAATGAGTCGTTGCCGGAAATTGTTTGTGATCCCCGGCTCGACAGACGAAGTGGTCTTCGCATGGATCAACATAGATCGCATGTGAATGTGAATGCTCTGGTGCATAGCAACATTGTAGATGCGAACTCGACCGACACGTCAGAAGAACCATGCCATCCATCACAAGCATGAAAACCTGGCAGCTGGCTTGGGAGGCCAAGGATGGAGTTTTTGAGTCCGGCTCATGTCAACGATTCTTGAAGCCTGCGCTTGTGAGGCGCTTTCCGAGCTGGCCGAGGACGTCTTCAGTGCCGATCCGAGACATGTCCCACCAGTCGCACAGAGTCGATGGCACGCTTTGGGCATTGACGCTGGGCTGTGTGCTGCAGGCTTCTCTTCCGCGGCGGATCCTGAGATCCCGAAGTCCAGCTCTTATGACCTCCGCCGCAAGAGAGTGCATGGGCAGCGCGAGAGGGACGGATTCCGTCGGAGTGAGTATCTTTGTCATCACCTGGAGTGCTCGGTTATCTCAGCCTTGGGACCCGAAGCTTCCCCGGACGTGTTGGTGGTTCTAACTAAGGCTGCCAGCTGTTCCTCGATTTTGTGGAGGGAGCGGTGTAATACTGTGTGCAAGGAGACCTCTCACATCAACAAACTGTGGTCCACGCATATTCGGACCCTTGCAAGTGGGAATGAAGCCAGGAACTCTATGTAAAAGAAGCCCTCCGAAAGTGTGGCGGCTGAGGAGTCGGCTCTGTCTACCATGTGGTGAAGGACTGGCGTGGCCGAACCTGTGCCCATAGAGAATACGCTTGGGGTTACACGACTTGTCGAGAGAAGCGTTATCTCTCGGAGTTTACGGAGTAGGCAAAAGGATTTGTCAACATAGCTGCCAGGCGTGATCTTCAAGTTATTTGTAGCAGCTTCAGGAGCATTCAGAGAGGGAGAATTCGGAGCTTAGCGAACTTTGTGTGTGTTTGTGTGTGTGTGTGAACCATTTGCGCTCAAACTGCCTGCAATTGCTCCAGAAGCTCCGGATGTGGTGCTGACCGACATCGAGGCGTGATGGTGCAGATGCATGTGCTTTGAGGGATAAATAAAATTTTGTAGTATATTGGTCGTATTATTCTGTGTAACCCAGCATGCAGCATTGTGCGCTTTCGGCCACAGCTGGGATGTCCCGGCTGCCCGATGTTCAGCGGTTCAACTGAAAGTCGGTTTGTGAAGCGTAAATTGGATGGAGTTGTTGAGAAAGAGTGTCGCTCAACGGTTTGTAGTCGTCAGGAGCTTTGGTGGCTTTGTGACCCAGCAGCAGTTTCATTGACAACAGAATGCATTTTCATCGTTTGGCCGTTAGGGATTATGCATATAACGCGTCACTTGGCATCTTGAGTTCTGTGTCAGCTTTACCTGGAATTTACCTTGGAATCCGTGGAGCCCGAATCTGTGAGACCTCAGCTGAGAATTGAAAAGCACTTCAACACTGTAAACAGAGTTAGAGCAGCAGCTGCATATGCAACGACGATTCCATAGATTCTTGCTGCTTCGCTTGGGGAAGGGTATCTCCTGCGTCGTGCAGGTGCGTGGCGGGCGGCACTCCCCGGACGCCGGGTCGCTAGTCCATGGCTCTCGCTGCCTATCGGTTTCAGAGTGGAACGAACGAACCTGTGCAGGGCCG